GGTTCCCTAAATATATAAAGAGTAAAATAAACTCTAAATTACTTATAACTACATGAAATTCCCTAAATAAGAAAACAGGCCAGCCATGGTGGCTCAAGTCTATAATCCCAGCACTTTAGGAGGCTGAGGCTGGAGGATGCTTGAGCTCAGGAGTTTGAGACCAGCCTAGGCAACATGGTGAAACCCCATCTCTACCAAAAAAATAAAACAAAAATTTAGCTGAGTGTGGTGGGTCATGCCTGTAGTCCCAGCTATTTGGGAGATTGAGGTGGGAAGATCACTCCCCTGTGCCTGGGAGGTTGAGGCTGCAGTGAGCTGTTATTATGCCACTGCATTTCAGTCTGAGTGACAGAGTGAGACCCTGTCTCAAAAAAAAAAAAAATAAATAAAAGCTTTATAAAATAATATGGAATGGCTGCTTTATTCCTTTCAAAGGAATTAAGGTAAAATAAACAACTTTGTACTAAATGTTTATATGTATATGCAATTAATAGTATGGAGAGTTTTAGAGATACTGGTAAGGAATTCAAAAAAGTAATAAAATACAGATCAAGAGATACTTAAGAGTCAGAATAACTTTTTCCAGTAGGTAAAATCCCATTTCTCAAAGGAATTTTTCAAATTCTTTTGTTGCTCTGACATTTTAAATTGTATTAATAATAATCCAGTAAATTGGACCATGTTAAGGAGCTTAGAAATTTTTGGGATACACTGAAATTTTTGTTGTGTTGATAATTATAACAAAATCAGTTTATAAAATAAATTTTTGAAAGCAGTCATTATTTTTTATTCAGGCTTAAATGATGAGGCACGGAAAGGAACAAAAAAAAGGAAAAATTAGGGCTATTTTTAACTTTGTCCTAATTATTAAAATGTAAGGTGACTATGGCCAGGTGCAGTGGCTGACACCTGTAATCCCAGCACTTTGGGAGGCCAACGTGGGTGGACTGCCTGAGCTCAAGAGTTTGAGACCAGCCTGGGTAACATGGTGAAATCCTGTCTCTACTAAAATACAAAAAATTAGCCATGCACGGTGGCACATGGCTGTAGTCCCAGCTACTTGGGAGGCTGAGACATGAGAATTGCTTGAACCCGGGAGGCAGACATTGCAGTGAACCAAGATCATACCATTGCATTAGTGCATGGGCAACAGCACAACTCTGTCTCCGAAAAAAAAGATAGGATGACTAAATGTCCTAATGAAATAAAAGCAAGGGGATCTTCTCCTCAATATATTTATTAGGTTGGTGCAAAAGTAGTTGCTTTTTTATTACTTTTATGGCAAAAAAAAAACAAAAACAAAAACCACAATTACTTTTGCATTAACCTAATGCTTTTTTCTTTCAATTTCAGTCTTCAGCACAGCATCCCCTTCCAATATAACTGGAAAAATGAAATGACACCAATATGGTATATGACAATTTGGACTGCCAAATTTAGCTCTGAGCCAAGGTCTTGCTCTGTCACCCAGGCTGGAGTGCCATGGCGTGAACACAGCTCATTGCAGCCTCCACCTCCTGAGCTCAAGTGATCCTCCCACCTCAGCATCCCAAGTAGCTGGGGCCACAGGTGTGCACCACCATGCCAAGCTAATATTTAAAGTTTTTGTAGAGACAGGGTCTCCCTAGGTTGCCCAGGCTGGTCTCAAACTCATGGGCCCAAGTGATCCTCTCACCTTGGCCTCCCAAAGTGCTGGTATTACAGACGTAAGCCACTATGCCTGGCCAGACTGTGAGATGTAAATATGTGAAACTGACAAATCAAGGCTAGCAGTTCATTAAAGAACTTTAATATTTAAAAAAAATATTTTTTTGCAACAAGATCTTCAAGGTAAACTAATACTTTTAAAGTGTATCTCCAGTGGGCTTTTTGGAGATATTATTTTGTACTCATATAGAAAACATTTATTAAATGTATATTGTATGCTAACACTGTCCCAACTACCCAAGGATACAAAATTATACTTTTATAGTAGCTATCCTTTACTAACAATGCCAAGTATGTTCTTTATAGTCAGTCAATTCGCATAGGAGAGGTAATTTCACTATTCTCAACACACAAATGAAGAGACAAAGATTTCAAAGAGTTTCATTTTCAAAGAGTTCACCACCTCGAGAGATTAAAAACCAGCATAAATTTAATAGAAGGTGCCAAATGCTACAATAGAGAGTGCAGAAGGATTGCCTTTAGGGGTGGCAGTGAGGGAAGGCCTTCCAGAGGATAGATGCTTGTCCTGAATTTGACAGGGGTAGGAGTTTGCAGGGTGGAGAAAAAATTATTGCAACCACATGCAAAGGCACTAAAATCTGAAATGATTTGAGCATTAGTGAAAACTTTTCCATAGGTCTTTGAGTTATTCTTCATGTACCATACATTTTGGGCAAGGAAGGATCATCTGTTTGAGTTACTGCTGGGGCCCTGAGCTGCTGTCAGGGCCTGTTAGAATCAGTATATTGGTTAGAACTTCACATCCTAGGCTTGGGCCTTAACTTGGCAAGTGAGTCAGGCAGATTCCACACCGAGTAGCATAGAGATTAGGAAAACAGATTCTGTGCCAGACTGCCTGAGTTTAATTCTCAGCTCTGTCGCTAATCACCAGTGAATGTGACCTTGAAAAAAATCACCTAACATTTTTAGGATTTAGTATCTTTATTTATAAAATGAGAACAGCAACAGAATCTACTTTACCATAGGGATGTAAAGAATAAAAGGCGTTAAATAGATAAAGTTCTGAGAACAGTGCCTGGTACATAGGAAACTACATAAGTGTTAGTTACTAGTATTACTTGAGACTGACATTTAAACAGAGAGCTACTTTGTTCATTCAGAATAAACTTTGTTCCTTTCTAATGATGCCTCAGTCTTCTAGCATAGTACTTTTTAAGTGTTAAGATACCTGAGAAGATAAATTTTGATTCAGAAAGTTGTTTGGAGGAAAGAGGCATAGAATATTTAATTCAAGCTCTGGTAAAGGCCAGTGAGATATTCCTACACCATAAAGACAAATTCACTATTGATTAGGTTATTTCTGTCTCCCAGAATTATTATCTTACTCCTGTGTTTCTTCCTGCCCAGCCATGTACAGCTAGTAGCTCAAGGTGGGGAGAAGATAGAATCTGGAAAGAATCCCAGAAGTGCTAGACATTAAGTTAAGATCATTTTGCTGATATACTCAGGGTGAACTGTTTAAAGAACTATTATGCTCTATTCCACTAACTCCCTTAGGTGGAATGTGGTTTGGGTTCCTAAGCTGTGGAAGGACTTTGGAATAGTCAAGGAACTCTAACAATTGCTAAATGTCCCTGACAGACTAGAGAGAAGGAAGGTTTTACTATAGAATTACAACTCTTTTTTGTTTAAGACAATGTCTTGCTCTGTTACCCAGGTGGGTGTGCAGTGGTGCCATCTTGGCTCACTGCAGCCTCAAACTCCAGGGCTCAAGCAATCCTCCCACCTCAGCCTCCTGAGTAGCTGGGACTACAGGTACATACCACCACACCTGGGTAATTTTTATATTTTTTGTAGAGATGGGGTTTTGCCATGTTTCCCAGGCTTGTCTTGAACTCCAGGGCTCAAGTGCTGGGATTACAGGCCTGAGCTACCATGCCTGGCCTACTATAGAACTGTTGTTACATTCTTTGGAACCCTCTACTAAGTAGAGGTGGCTCAGGATATTTATCCTGTGGCTCTCAAAAACATGTTTTTCTAGGTTGGGCTTAAAGACGATGCGTCTGTAAACCATCAGAGATTCATGACATTTGGGTTGAAAAGACTGTAGTGGGATAGTGTTTATGTGCCCAATAACCTTGTCAGCCTTAAGTCCTCCAAGACGCTGGCCATAAATGCTTGAAGAAGTGAAGGCAATATATAATCCAAATAACAGTTCTATGTGTTCACACTGCTCAAGCCTTGTCTGGAAGGTTTTACTTGGTTCCTTCTGGAATAAAGGTAAACTTGTAGGCACACTGGAGCTCTTATTTAATAAAGATCGTCTCGTTCCAGGGAGCTGGTTCAGAAGGCCAGAGACCAGTGGCATCCAATAACTCATGGGTGGACCGTTTGAGACTTCTACCGTGGCCATAGAAACAAAGTTTAGCTTCTCTCGTTCTCATGAAGAACCATGGGGCTATCTCTGGGATTTCGAAGGACTTTTTATCTGCTGTCTAGAGGGGAGAGACAATATAAAGTGCCACATTCTAAAAGAGAGAGTTTAGAGAAAGAACTGTTGTTGGAAAGTGGGAATCAAGGAAGGCCTCAAAGAAGACAGGATGTTTGTGCTGAATTTTAAAGTTGAGGAGGAGCTTGCATAGTGGACAAGTGTTACAGCCTACATAACCAAAGATCCAGAAATCCAAAGTCATCTGAACCTTATTCAAAAAGTTTCACATTATACTATTAGCAATTTCATTATGTTTTGAAAGGGCCTAATACTGCAGGGCTGGGAAAGAGAGTAACTCTCCTGAGTGTTGAGGACAGGGGTTTGATAAATAGAATGGGATGAAGGAGGGCTGATGCCGCATCTGCCATTTTGTGATAATGAAGGAAAGGCAGAGGACACTGCAGAGATGTCAACCACAATGTCTTCCAGCTGCTGAACCAGCCACATTTTGTTTAGAACACTTGAGTTTTCTGTTATTTTTATAAAATGAATTCCTAATTAGGAAGAATTCAGTACGGTAAGTGGAGTGCTAAGGGTAAGATACTCTGAAATATGAAACTGGATGACTAGAGGGGTTGTAATCACAGGGTGTGATGATCTGCAATTTTTAGAGATAGTGGAAAAATTGGTCAAATTATTATCTACACCTCTTGGGACCTATGTAATAACAGCATGGTTATAGTTTTAGGGAAAATGTTTGGAAACATCTCAGGTTTTCAATGTGTGTTACCTTTACTTGCTGTTGAAGAGACAGGAAGAAATAATCAAAATAAAGGTGGTGACATTTTATTAATATGAAGTAAAATAGACTTCAAAATTTGTGCCCCATTGAGTTCCACCTTCCATCACACCCTCTTCAAAGACATCTTCTTCATCCTGCAAGAAACAAGCAGCATCCATGGCCGTCATCATCCCAGATGCTGCCCTTAAGGAGGGGCTGAGTGGCAATGCCCTCAGCAGCCCCAGTACACCTGAGCCTGTGGTGGGCACCCATGACAACAAACTAGATGTTGACTACATCAAGAGGTACCTGGACGATTTGACTCCACTGCAGGGGAGCTGCCTCATTAGACTTTGCCGGTGGCTCCAGGAGACCCACAAGGGCAAAATTCCAAAAGATGAGCCTATTCTTCAGTTCTTACCTGGGTGAGATTTTAATATTGACAAAGCCAGAGAGATCATGTGTCAATCTTTGACATGGAGGAAGGAGCACCAGGTAGACTGCATTCTTGACACCTGGACCCCTCCACAGGTCCTTCAGGATTTCTACATGGGAGGCTGGCATCATCACAATAAAGAGGGGTAGCCCCTCTATGTGCTCAGGCTGGGGCAGATGGACACCAAAGGCTTGGTGAGAGCACTCAGGGAGGAAGCCCTGCTGAGATACATTCTCTCCATAAATGAGGAAGGGCTAAGGTGATATGAGGAGAATACAAAAGTCTTTGGTCAGCTTATCAGTTCATGGACCTGCCTGGTGGACTTGGAAGGGCTGAACATGTGCCACTTGTGGAGACCCAGTGTCAAAGCGCTGCTGCAGATCATTGAGGTGGTGGAGGCCAATTACCCTGAGACACTGGGCTGCCTTCTCATCCTGCAGGTGCCCAGGGTGTTTCCTGTGCTCTGGATGCTGGTTAGTCCATTCATTGATGACAACACCAGAAGGAAATTCCTCCTTTAAACAGGAAATGACTACCAGGGTCCTGGAGGCCTGCTGGATTACACTGACAAAAAGATTATTCCAGATTTCCTGAGTGGGGAGTGCATGTGTGAAGTGCCAGAGGGTGAATTCGTCCTCAGATTTCTGTACTGCACTGCAGAGGAGCTGGAGGATGAAGACCACAAGCTCTGGACTGAGAGCATTTACCAGTCTGTAAGCATCTTCAAAGGAGGCCCCCAAGAGATTTTCATTCGGATTGTGGACGCCTCTTCAGTCATCATTTGGGATTTTGATGTGTGCAAAGGGACAAGAGGTCACCACAGCCATCCCAAAAGGACTCCCTGGGGGCCCACAGCATCACCTCTCCAGGTGGGATCCATGTGCAGCTCATAGACAAAGTCTGGCAGCTGGGCTGCTACTACAGCATGATGATTGCCTCTGATCTGCAAAGAAGGAGAAAGTGCGCAGGGCTCCCCCAGTGACCAGGTGGCTGGGCTTCTACAGCCTGTAGTGAAATGCCACAGCATGCCCACATGCGCTGCCAGCAGCCTGCCCCGGGTGGACGACGTGCTCGCATCCCTGCAGGCCTCTTTGCACAAATGTAAAGTGATGTACTACACGAGGTGATCGGCCCCGAGGATTTCAGAGGTTCCATGACAAGCCTGGAGTCCAGCCACAGTGGCTTCTCACAGGTGAGTGCCACCACCACCTCCTCCAGCCAGTCCCACTCCAGCTCCATGATCTCCAGGTAGTGCCACGCTGTCTGTGCCTAGTGTGCAGAGGGGATGGCCACCCCTCTTCGGACAGCCAGCTGCACCCATCTGCCCAGCGGTGACACTGTATAGACTCCTCTCACCTCTAGATAGCAAATAGCTCTCCAGATGGTAAACATAGTCGTTTGATCCCAAAGCTATCTTGGCAGGTAGTTTTAACTCTGATCCTAACTTAACTCAGTAGCCATAGATTTTGGATAAGTTGTGCACAAAAACCTGATTTTTATATCTATTAACCTTGTTAAACTCTTTTATTGTTAAAATTTATCTGTAGATTGTTTTGGATGTGACACATACATATTTTTTTTTTTTTGAGACAAAGTTCTGCTCTTGTTGCCTAGGCTGGGGTGCAGTGGCACGATATCAGCTCACTGCAACCTCTGCCTTCAGGGTTCAAGCAATTCTTGTATGCCACTTGGGAAAGAATACACCAACACATTTGCATTTTTTTTTTTCTTCTTTAAAGGAGATGACAAAAACCCAGTTTACCAGCTTTACTTTTTGGAACCTAAGCTTAACATTACATATTTAAACAATTGTCAAAAAGTTGCTAAGTTGCCAGCATACATGCACAACTAGAAAACACCCTTAATTTATATTAAACCGGAAACATATTACCATTAATGCATTAATATCTTTCACTACTAAGTACTGAAAAACATTGAAATTGTTTCTGTAGAAGATTCGTCCTGGCAATGTTAACTTCACAGTAGGCCGACACTATGTGGCTCACATTTCAGACACAATGGAAAAGCAGATCCATGCCAGTATTAGTGGACTTTTATCTAGGTGCCACTTCAGTGCCAGTTTCTGATATGCCTTTTTAAGATCCTTGGATGAGGCATGCCTCTGCTCACCTAGAACTTCATAGTAATCTCTACCGTGTTTTAAGAGATTGTTGGAGGTTCAAGGACGGAGGTGGCCGGTGGCAGGACACAGGGGAGGTGGGGTGGTGGCCCGAATCTCCTCATGGCTCCAGCACTACTGTGCTGGTGGTGGCAGTTCTTCATGCTTTCCTTTCTCTCTGATTTCAATTTTTAAAAATTTATTGAGCTGGGCATGGTGGCTTATGCCTGTAATCCCAGCACTTGGGAGGCCGAGGCAGGTAGATCACCTGAGGTCAGGAGTTCGAAACTAGCCTGGTCAACATGGTGAAACCCTGTCCCTACTAAAAATATAAAATCAGTTGGGCATGGTGGTGCATGCCTGTATTCCCAGCTACTTGAAAGGTTGAGGCAGGAGAATCGCTTGAACATGGGAGGCAGAGGTTGCAGTGAGCCAAGATTGTGCCATTGCACTCCATCTTGGACAACAAGAGCTAAACTCCAGCTCAAAAAAAAAAAAAAAATATTGAGACTTGTTTTGTGGCCTAAAATAGCTATTCCTGAAAACATTCTATGTGCTTATGAGAAAGATGTATATTGTGCTACTGTTGGATAAAATGTTCTGTAAATGTCTGTGAGAACCTTTTGATCTAAAGTGTAGATTAAATCCAATGTTTTTTGTTGATCTTGTGTCTAGATTATCTGTTGAATGCTGAGGGTAGAGTGTTGAAGCACCCAGCTATTATTGGATTGGAGTTTCTCTCCCTTTAGGTCTACTATTTGCTTTCTACTTCTGGGTGCTCCAATGTTGGGTGATATATATTTAGAATTGTTATATCCTTTTGCTTAATTGATGACTTTAGCATTGTATAATGGCATTTTTTGTCTCTTTTTTACACTTTTTGACTTAAAGTCTGTTTTATTTGTTGTAGGTGTAGCTACTCCTGAATTTTTTTTTCTGTTTGCACACAATATCCTTTTTCATCACTTCCCTTTTAGTCTATATGTGGCTTTACAAGTGAAGTGAGCTTTTTTTTTGTAGGCACATATAGTGGGATCATTAAAAAGAAACTCATTCAGGGCCAGGCACCATGGCTCAGGCTGGGCACAGTAGCTCACACTTGTAGTCCCAGCACTTTGGGAGGCCAGGGTGGGTGGATCATAAGGTCAGAAGTTCGAATCCAGCCTGACCAACATAGTGAAATCCGGTCTCTACTAAAAATACAAAAATTAACTGGTGTGGTGGCATGTACCTGTAGTCCCAGCTACTTGGGAGGCTGAGGTGAGAGAATTGCTTGAACCCAGGGGGCAGAAATTGCAGTGAGCTGAGACCACACCATTGTACTCCAGCCTGGGTGACAGAGTAAGACTCTGTCTCCAAAACAAAAACAAAAACTCATTCAGGCAGTCTTTATCATTTAAGTGGGAAATTTAATCCATTTACATTCAATGTTATTATTGATAAGGGACAACTTATTCCTATCATTTTGTAAATTGTTTTCTGGTCATTTTGTATATCCTTTGTTACTTTCTTCCTCTATAATTGTTTATCATTGTAGTTTGATGGTTTTCTTTTGTTGTATCATTTGACTACCTTTTCTTTCTCACATGTGTGTCTGCTCTACCAGCAAGTTTTATATTTTTGTGTGTTTTGCTGATAGTATATATAATATCAGCCTTTTCAGAAATAGGATCCCCTTAAGCATTTCTTGTAGGACTGGTATAGTGGGTTTGAATTTCCTGTTTTCTCTTCCTTATTTTTTGAAGGGTAGCTTTGCTGAAGACAGTATTCTTAGCAATTTTTTTCTTTTAGGACTTTAAATATATCACTCTATTATCTCCTGACCTCTAAGGTTTCTGCTTAGAAGTCTACCATTAGTCTGATGGGAGTTCCCTGAAAATGTGACTTGACAACTTTCTCTTGCTGTTTTTGGAATTCTCTCTTTGTCTTTGACTTCTGACAGTTCAATTATAATATGCTTTGGAGAAGACCTTTTTGGGTTGAATCTATTTGGAGATATTTGAGCTTCCTGTATCTCGGTATCTAAATCTCTTGTAAGACTTGGAAAGTCTTCAGCTTTTATTTCATTAAATAGATTTTTTTTTTTTAAAAGACAGAGTCTCATACTTTTGCCCAGGCTAGTGTACAGTGGCGTTATCTCAGCTCACTGCAACCTCCAGTTCCTGGGCTCAAGCAATCCTCTTACCTCAGCCTCCTGAGGGAGGAGAGAGGTGCTTAGCCACTTTTCTCTGGAACCCTCCTCCCTCAGCCCCTCCAACTGCATATATAATCTTACTCTGCCCTTCACAGAGGGGAAGGAGCCACTGAACTGAGAACGTCCTGGCTCTAAGCCCACCAGAGAGAAACAGGCCTCTGTACCCCCATTTGAGGTAGAGGGTCTTCATCTGTCAGTATCCCCTGCCTCTCCTTCCTCATAGAAGGGAGGAGCAGGAGGCAGCTGGGATCCTCAGCTTGGCCAGGGTGCAGCCAGGAGCAGGGTTCCACGTGGCTGGGCCAGCACTGTGGCTTTGCTGCCTTTTCCTGTGGCCAGTCCCAGGAAGTGCTAGCAACACCTCTCTTCCCTCTGGATTCTGGGGGTCCCCCACACCCTATTTCCTCCACTCCAGCTGCCACTTTTGGAAGGGTATTGAGTCAGGAGCTGAGGGAAGGGGTGAGGAAGGTGGACCACCCACCCCAACTGTAACGTCTTTTTTTTGGGGGGGCCATTTGAGTCATGTATGGTACCGATCAATAAAGAGACTTTTCGGTTTTTTTAAAAAAAAAAAAAAAAAAAGAACCTACTTAGCTGGGAATACAGGTGCAAGTCACCATGCCTGGCTAATTTTATTTTTGGTAGAGACAAGGTCTTACTACGTTGTCCAGGCTGGTCTCAAACTCCTGCACTCAAACAATCCTCCCACCTTGGCCTCCCAAATTGCTGGGATTAGAAGCATGAGCCACTGTGCTTGGCCGTTAAATAGATTTTCTATGCCTTTGCCCATCTCTTCTCCTTCTAGAACACCTCAAATTAAAAAATTTGGCCACTTTCTGGTGTCCCATATGTCAGATAGGCTTGCTTTCCTCTTCTTTTTCATTCTTTTTTTTTTTTTTGAGACAGAGTCTTGCTGTGTCACCTGTCACCAGGCTGGAATGCAATGGCGAGATCTCTGCTTGCTACAACCTCCGCTTCCTGGGTTCAAGCGATTCCCCTGCCTCAGCCTCCTGAGTAGCTGGAACTATAGGCGTGTGCCACCATGCCCGGCTAATTTTTTTGTATTTTAGTAGAGATGGGGTTTCACTTTATTGGCCAGGATGGTCATGATCTGACCTTGTGATCCATCTGCCTTAGCCTCCCAAAGTGCTGGGATTACAGGCATGAGCTACCATGCCTGGCCTCTTTTTTTTCTTTTTGTGTAATTGAGTTATTTCAAAAGAGCTGTCTTCAAGTCCAGAAATTCTTTCTTCTGTTTGAACCAGTCTGTTGTTGAAGCTTTTGATTATATTTTCTATTTCATTAATTGAATTTTTCAGTTACAGGATCTCCTTTGGGTTCTTTTTTATGATATCTATCTCTTTGAGTTGAATTTCTCATTCAGATCATGAATCGTTTTCCTGATTTTTACTGTTTACCTGTGTTTTTTTACACCTCACTAATTTTCTTTAATATCATTATGCTAAATTCTTTTTCAGGCATTTCATAGATTTCCTTTTTGCAGGAATCTGTTGCTGGAGAATTATTTTCTTAGGAGATGTCTTGTTTTCTTGGTTTTTTCATGTTTCTTGTGTCCTTATGTTAGATATCTGTGCATCTGATATAACAGTCATTTTTTCCAATTTTATTAATTGTCTGCTATAGGGAAAGACTTTTCCTATAAGTGTATCTATAGTGTTGGCTGGGTAGGGTGCTTTGACTTTGATCCTGGGTGGGCATAGTAATGTAGTCTTTGTATGACTTATTTGGTTATAATCAGCATCAGTGGTGTCTATGAGTTCCTTAGTGGCTTACACTATGGTTGATAGTAGAGGCTGTGGTGAGGCTTTGCTAGGGATGAGGATGACAAATGAGCAGCTCTTAGGCTCTGGGGAGTGCAAGCTTCATTCAGCTCCCTTTGTCCCAGGGGCAGTCTCCTTGGTGCACTGCATTTCCCGTTTCCTGGGGTGTAGGAGACTACATGGGCTAGAATGCTGAAGACTTGGCTGTACTGCTGTGGCTAGCTGGTGTTGAGATATTCCAGCCCTCTGGGTGGGCTTGGGAGGTTGTCAGAAGCACTCCAGGGATGTGGAGATGGAGGCACTTTTGGGTTTCAGGGCAGAATGTAGTTTGGTGGGAGCTGGGCTCTCAGAATGGTGTTGTGCTTGCAGCTGCTTGGATCTTAGGGGTTCTGTGGGCTCTGAGCAAACTTTCTTTTTGGAACAATGCATTCCTGTGGACTTGAAGATCTCTACACTTATCTTAGGGCCTACATTGGTAAGAAGCTCTTCCTTGGCTAGGATTGCATAAGTCTGTAGTAGGAATGTGGACCCTTGGGAATCTCTTGCTTATAGCTTCCCTGCACTGGGGTGTTTCTCCTGGCTGTGAGCCAATCCCAGCTGGACAGGCTACTTCTCTCTCCTCTTATTCCATGCCTTAGAAGTTCCTTGTCACTTTCCTGATGAATTCCAATGTTATCTCTCACTTTATTCTACATGTGATTATGTACTTGCTGTTTTGGTCCTTCTTTGTAGTGGAGGTAAGTGCTAGGTGCCTGTAGGTCACCATCTTAAAGCCCTTTCCTAAGTGACAAATCTTAACATTACAAAAAGAGACAGCCAAATATTT